AAAGTACCAGCTTCCGGTAAGATCCTTGGTTATCCAGTTTAGATAAGTTGAAAAGCAGAGAAAGGAACCTTCTTTATCGGCTCTAAAAGCTTGCAAGCTCCGGACATAGGCATCGATGACGTACAAGCTAACAATATATTTTTGTGCGACGAGGCGTGCAAACTCGTGAGCCCACTTATCGCTCTGGTATCGTTTCCAATGTTACCGATTCAGTATGAAATAATTCGTGAGTTCCTTTCTCAAATAACAGATAATAAAATTGAAATTTATTAAAATAACTTGGATTCGACCAAATCTTCGTTATCGGAAAAGTGATCACATGCTAGCAACTAGCATCCTCGGTTCATTGACAACCTATTCACGTGTCACAATCAGAATCATTCTAATTAATTTCACGATATGAAGCTTGAGCAGTAAACGAACTCCTTGTTTTTTTTTCTTTTTTTACATAGTAACTATTATCTTCAAAATACGATACAACGATACACAGCTATTGCCGCGATAAATTTTTGTAATTACATACTTTGTAAATACTTGCTTTTTGACAATTTGCGATTTATTTGCGTGTGTGTAATTTCAGTTCCCAGAAAGTGCCAGGAAGCAAAGTTACGCGTTAATGCACGAACTAGCATTGCAATCGGATCTGTAGCCTCGGAAGAAAAGAAATCTACACGCTAGACTGGAAGCTGTACAAATAGTTGAGCAAACATCGACAAGAACCTTTCTTTCACGTACAGCAAATACAAATATTCGGACAAAACACTTGGCTATCTCTTAACGAATTAAGAACATCGTTCTTTGACTTCCCCATGGCCAGGCGTATTTCCTTCTTAGTTTTATCGACGTTGGCGACTCGCCGATTTATCGCAATACTTGACTCTCATTCATTTAGTTCATTGACATTTTAAATCTATTTAACTACTTGTGATTGATATTTATTCTTTATTCAAATTATAGTTAAACTAAACATTTGAGCTCTCAAATTGCTTACTATCTTGAAAGTATCCTGCGACAGTTTACATGGAAATCGACGAAAAAATTCGGAACTGGAAAATTGAAATCCAGAGATCTCTCTAAGGGGATAAGAACTTCTGGCAATCTACGTGAGTGACTCACGCCTATCCTCAGGAATCATTGTGCTTCTTATTTTCTTCTTCCATCTTCACCTATTCTCTCCACTCGCTGATAACGCTGTTTTCTCTGCGTTTTCCCTCTTTCTTTCTTTTTTTCTTCTTCTTTCTTTTCATCCCATCGATTGAATTTCCTCTTCAGATTCGATAAAAAAAAATTCCAACGTTCGAGTTTGAAGCACGATAAAAAAAAAAAAAAAGAGATCGTGAAAATGAATAAAACCGAGTGAAAGATTAAGCTGTCTCGTAATAAATTTACGAATTCTGCGAGGGATGGAGAAATCGTAACTGTAGGAACAGGCCAAACAGATAAGTTCGTCGCTTTTCCACCACGTGGAAAGCTTAATATTGCAAGTTTCCCGCCATAACGGTACACCAATCGCCAGTTCCGTGGTTGTAGATCACGGTTAATACCCTTTGCTCGACGAATTCGACAAGATTGGTTAGACGAGGCAGAAGAGCAACCTACTAACCAGAGCCATTTGTCGAGAAGAACGATGAGTTCGGGCAATTTGAGTGCAAATATATATCTGCCGTTATATATTTCGTTCTTGGCGACCGTGTTGAACACGCTTCTTCCATTATTATTTCCCGTCGATTAAATAAATTTCCAGATTACAACGCCAATCCTGCTTCTCCTGTTTCTTCGCGCAATTTTTATTGCAAAATTTCCCTCAGTTGCGTGAATTGATAGTCACTTGACTCTATGTTTCGTCTATGTTGCGTCTACGGTGTATTAAACGAAACTAAACAACAGTGAGAAATTAATTATTCCTTAACTTAACTAATTGAAAAAAAAAGTACTTTAACAGTTAAAACACAATTTCCCTTCTTTTCGACTGAAATTGGATCCTGGAAAAGTGAAGGAATTCGGAACGGCTAACTAATTCAGAAACACACTAACTCCAATCGCACGTCGCCGAATTTCTGGGAATCTATTAAAACTTCTACAATTTCCAGCACTCGTACACTATCTTATCCAAGCTGGAACTCATCATCTTCCTGGCAATCGCACACATCGAAGGCTACGACCATCGTCCCCTTCGACATTACGAACAATCTTTCACGTGATCGTTGAGAAACATGTCTTGGGTATCGTGATCGTGAAAGTGCTTGATTTTTGAAGGAGAGAGGCGGGAACAGAGCGAGAGAGCAACCACATGCGAAGCTCGTGCTAATTAATCGTTAGCACGGCCAAAGAAGAGAACGTAAAGAAACCACCGCGTTAATGTAAAGGCGGCGAACGTCGCGCGAAGGATTTATATCGTTCGACGATCGGACAGCTGCAACGTGGAGACCGCGATAAAAATAGGGTTGAACAACAGATTTACGACGAGATATTCGCGTGTCCCTTACCAGGCAAACTTAATGCAACCACTTAAGACAACCTAGATACCTACTCTGGAGCCAGCAGATTTTTAAAGTTTTGATCGTCTTCCGAAAATCAGACTGAACGGAAAGATTTCGGATTAAAATTTAACTCGAGCAAGCGATTCTTAATGGAATGATTTCTGAAGTTACAAGAATTTACGCGTAAACTTATACGAGATGAAGAGGAAAAAAGGGTTCGTGACTTCTAGGGTAGATAGTACCGAAAGATGAAAAGAAAAAGTTAATAAACATGGATCGAAAAATTAATAGTTTCAAAGTTATTAAACGATTCTTTGTTTCCCTTGAAAAGACTAGAAAAGCTTATCTACTCTTTGAAAGAGTACATAATTTTTTAATAATAGAAAGAGAACACCTCCTATAATGAAAAAAAGAAGAAATTATTATACAACCGTCGCTTTGAAACTGTTTAATTTCTCGATCCACGTTTATTACAACTTCTTTTCATGTTTCAGTGAGTACTCCTTCTTTTTCTTTTTTTTTTTTTTATTCATCCTGTATACTTTGGAGAGGTCACGAGAAATCCTTCGTCGTGTCGAAATGTCGTGTTTCTTGGATTCACACGTAAAGTCTGCCTACGTTTGTACGTTGAAGAAAATAGAGAGCTTCCTTCCGGAACGCACGCGGTGACTGCGGCTTAGATTTATTTCAAGGCGTCTACTTGCGCATTCAGCCGACGATTTGAAAGCAGTTCGCGCGCCGCGTCGTACCTTACAGCAGCTTTACGAAGAGTCTAACCCCCTCGTCTGCATAATTTGCAACAGCGGCGTGACTCTTTCTAACGCGAACACGTTCTTCCTTGGATTTACGGTGCAAAATTGAAATTCAATTTCGTTTCGCGTGATTACGTTGTACAACTCGACTATAGAAATAAAAAAAAGAAAAAAAGAAAATAAAACTATAAAAAGCTAGAACTAGAATAGCATACTTATACTCAAGCAGCTCAATTCACTCCTCCTGTCCCTTCTATCTTTATGGTAGATTTAATTTATTATCACCACGCAGATAATAATCAAAAGATAAACTGATGTTCTCGAGCGATCTGTTACATTTGCAATATTATACCCGATTAGTGGAATGAAATCTGTATTCAGAAGCAACAAAGCACGTCATCTAGATAAGATAATCTGTGAAATTAAATATTTCTACGAGTCTAAGAAAGTAGAGAAACCGGTTCTTTTATCGATTTCTTCTTCTTTATTGGCGAACTAACCAACAGAGTTGTTAAAAAAGACAGAGGTTTAATTAAAACCTTTATCGCGGCGATCTTTCTCTCATGATTGATTCATTTCTTTGCTGCTAATTTACAACGAAAGCTAGGCGAGCAAAGCGTACGAAGATAACGTATCGTTCGCGTCACGCGACGATATGCAAATTATTGCGGAATAATTGGATGAAAAGGAAAACTGACGATGTATCTGTCGTTAACTTACCTAGTGGCGTATTAAATTGACGATAAATTGTATCAGAACTCGTAATCCAGAAATTCTTATCGTACAATCTCTCGGCAATTAAATTTTTAAAGCTTATCTCTGTTGCTATATTTTTTTTTTTTTGTCTTTTTTCCTTTCGCGACGATCGGTCGAGTTTTCCCGGTTGACACTGATTTATCGTTAGTCGAGAGATCGGTTAAACCGTTTTATCGATTTGCTCGACGGGCTGGAAGTACGGAGCAAACCGAGTTTCATTCAATTTTTCATCGAAAATTACGATCTCTCGGGCCGAGTCGATTATCTATTATTAAAAGGTACTTTGACTTTTCCTCAACAAACTACAACCAATGAGGATTCGTTGCAAATTGACAATGAAATTTCAATTATTTGGACCTATATACCAACCGTTTAATTACTCGATCAAATTTGAAATTCTTATTCCTTCCAAAATAAATCCACCAATGATTACAAAATAGCATTAATAAGATTTGAAAGCGTGATCTCCTATATCCCGAGTGAAACAAACAAATAAATCTAAAACCGATCAGAAAAACATATTATACAATGGTTTCCCCTTTGAACTAAAATATCGAGACATCATTCCCTAGACCACCCCCGCAATACTGATAAGCTTGACCAGCGCAAGAATCCATTCGAATGGAATTGGATTTATCGCGGCGGATGCAAACGCAAATTGTATGGCCACGGGAGCACGTGGCTAGGTTGGGAAACGAGGGGATTGGCCCATTGGCTTCCCCTACGCAAGCTCAGCTTGCGACGGTCCTCTTCACTGAACCACCTAACCGAATCCAGTTGGCGTTCGACGTCGCGCCCCTTGTCTCGCCCGCGTGTTGCGATCCTTCTCCACCGGGAATCCCGAGTCGCGATTTTTTATCGCCATAAGTGTCAGTCGAGTCTCGCCTCGCCTCGAAGAATTCGAAAATTAAAAGTCCAGCGAACAGGCTTCCACAGAGTTCCAAATACGAAACAACAGTGCACGTGGATTCGAGTGTTTTTTTTTTTTTTTTTTTTTTTTTTTTTTACGATGGTTCGAGACATTTTCACTGAGATGTGGGAAAATTTCAAAAATAGATTTCATAAATTTTCCGTATAGAATTTCGATCGACATCGAATCGAAAGGCGAAAAATTGTCGAATTCTCGTGCGTCGTCACGACGAATTTGGAAACGGTAGTTCTGGGGAATTTATTGTAAAGTCGGAGGTACGGTAAGAAAGAAGGGAAGAGAGGAGAGCGAATGCTACGTGATATCTTTCGTTATGGTACGTTGTTTCAGGTATTCTTATTTCGATCGAACAACACGTAGCATCGTTGACCTCGTTCAGCTGGAAACTGATTATCTGAGAAAATTTTCACCGCGAGGCAAGCATAATATAGTGAAAGACAAATCTTTATTAAACGTCTCCACAGAAGATACTCACTATACTATAAAAATCTGTAATATCGGGCGAGAAAACTTGATGAAAAATCTTCCAAACACAATGCGTCGAAAGTCATCTTTCATTGTAACAGGGAAACGGAATTTCAACTCGACTGAATTGAAAATGGCATAATGACATAGCCGAAATAAGAGTCGAGTCGTTTCAGGTTATTTGAATAGTTTCAAAATCGCGCGCTCTATTCACGAACATTCACTTCTGCTCGTTCGATCACTCCGCTTCGATTAAATTACAATGGGCCGGAAATGTGTCCACACATTTGATTCCTTGCTCAACGCACCCTCTTTACCGAGCTCGTTTACTCAGCTTTTAGTGTAATACAACGAAGAACACTGCTGCCTGTGACCTGGATACGCACACGTTAGATTCAAACGAGTGACTTACATTAGAAAAATATCAGTTTTATCGATACGCTTCTCTCGTGTGGTATTTTCTACCATTTTTTTTATTTAGAATATTTCATTTAGAAAGGCACGCTTTCTTCAAATATTATATATTTCGTTTGCCTCCGAGAATTCCAAGGATTTCTCACAAATTCCCGATTCTAATTTCGACATTTCGACGTTTCGAATAGTTCACATTACTCCGCAGGTCTGAAAGCTGGAAGTGGAAGAAAGAAAGAAATGTTACGCGAGGAAACGACATTACGTTCGCTCTTCTATCTCATTTAACAAGTAGAAAGCTAGCAAGCTGCGAGTCGAGGCATTAGCCTCGAAGTCAGTTTTGTTTTGGAAGCGGAACTTCCGATTTGGTTTCCAAGTTCCCCCGCGGAAACATTCCCGCTAAGAGAATAGAAAGTACATTCGGTCGGCCAAGTTTTATCTACGTGGCCATCTTCCATCTTTCCAGAAGACATGGAATTTAATCTCCACCGTGACTGGAATAAAGTTTCCAACATATTCTTACTGCTAATACCTTGGTGGATTGGTGGACCTTCGAGAATTCACGGCCATATCGAGAAACCGAAACCACGTATCTCTTACTAGCATTTTATTAACAATATTCCCAAACTCGTTTACCTTCCTTTATCTTCCGAGTACAGATTCGACTCTGAACGTAAATTTATCGGATCGTAATGTCTCGCGATAGAGGAATATGTATGTATGTATGTATACTGGCAGTTTTAAAGGCAAGATTCTCCTAAGAAATTTATTTATAGGGTGATTCTCGAACGCTGCTTGCTTATCCTCTTTCTCATCTGTCCCTCGATGCATGTATTAAGAATGGCAAATTTATTTCGAGAACGATGTGAAGCAAGCAGAACGGAAGGGTACTATGAAACGACATGTTCAAATTTCTCATTTCTCACACTGAGAATTCAGCTTTGGCTGAATTCTAATTTTTCAAAAAAATACGAACATCCTTTGAAACAAGTTTCTATAAAATATAGCGGCAATTATTGAGGAGCAGAGAATGAGGAGGGAAAGATAGTAAATATGAACAGTGCATGTTGGTGGAAATAGCGAACGGGATGAAGAGCCGAAACCACAACGAGGGGGACGCTCACGAGGACAGCGGGCTAGCGACTTCCGGTGAAATAGGTGAACTTTCCTTCTCGGGGGAATGCGAGGCAGTCGTTTGTCCGCAAGAGGCAAGAATTCCGAAGGGAATCGAGGAAAATGAAAATCAAGATCCTAGGTCTGACCCGCAATTTACGTAGCCCTTGCAATCCATTCTTTCTTTTCGTTTCGAGTATATTTTATTAGATCTCCTAGACTCTATCTCCACCCACAAATTAGCTAAGAAAAAATCCATTTGACTGTCCCTTCGTTTGTAATTGTCATTCGTCAAAATTAGTAAGATGTAAAATTCTGGACGGTGACGCACAAGTGTCGAAAGAAGCCTCTAGCGTTCTCATTTCCGTTTTTCACGCGACGTAGATACATCGCACGGTGCACCATAAGACAGCATTACTATCCAGAGAGTGGTTGGGGTTGGGTGGTCGTGGTAACCGGCGTTATCGTGCGAATTCTTGCCACGGGAATTCACGGTGCTGCCGGAACGTGGTTGCTGTTGGAAGCAACGAAACGATATCGTCAACCGGTTTTCAACGTAGGTACGATCCTATTTTCTAATGTCAATGTCGGAAAACTGTATGCTCGGCACCTTCGTTGCCAAATTGTTCGATAAAACGTGCACGCTCGTGTAGAATTTCATACACGTTTTAATGTTAACAACATTTACATACATATAAATACTAGAGAAGTATTGATTTTAATTTAGAATACGTTTGTTTTCACTAATGTCTTTGAAAATTTATACGAAACGTTACAGCTGAAGTTACGGTCGGGACAATTTTAGAACGAAGAGAAAATTTACTGCTTTTAAATATACACCAAATTAAAGTGACAAGTACTATTCAAAAATAGGAGGAAAAAGTTTTACTACTCACGAGAGAGAGACACAGTTGTTTAAATATAAAAAAAAAACGTCGCGACACGTCGTAAAAGTATACGATGATACTCTAAGAACGTTATAAATTCGACGTTTCGACGTTTCTAGAAGAATCATCCGTCCTAATTTATCGCACGTATCTAAATCATCAGACCCACGCGCGCGGCTTATCGATATTTATCAACCTGTCGTATCAAAATCCGTCGGAGGAATACGAATGTACCCGATGTTCCCCTGCCGTCCACATGTTCTCGGCCAGGGCTTTAAAATTTATCGCGCGCGGTCAGCGGCAAACGGAGAAACTCGGCGAGTCTCGAATGTCGATTTGAGAATCTTGACAATGGTCGAGTGTGTATCGTTTGAATATTTCATGCGGCTGAGAGAGAAAAGGAATTTCAACTTCGTTCCTGAGAAACGATAACTATAACCGTTCCAGAAATGTTTCGCGCATCGAGCGTTGTTAAATTAAGAAGTTTGAAGACGATTCACGGTTATTCAGAATTGGTCCTGATATTACAATTGTCGTCGTAAAACCAACTCTCGTCTGATTGTCAGTTATTTTCTCGGAGCCCTCTGCCTCGTCTTTTGCCCTCTGTCTCGAATCATTTAATGGCTCGACTTTCCCTTTTTGCTGCTCGTTTACGAGCATCTCTGTTTAGAAACGTAGCACATCCCGACACGACACGCCGAACTTCTTTTTCGGAGATCCGGAGCTAACGATCAACAAAGGAAAAAGAAATAGTATTCTCGAGAAAGAATCTAGGTTATTAATTTTAAATAACTCAGTCTTGCGAGGTTGAAGAATATTATATAGAAAGTTCTTGAATTTTCCAACGATCAATAAGAAATATAATAATACGAGAAAAAATCTAGATTATTAATTTGAATAATATCTCGTGACATTGAAGAACATTATATTATAGGAAATTGTATGGAATTGTGATGATAACGACTAAAAAGAAAAGATAATATTTTCAAGAAAGAATCTAGGTTATTAATTTTAAATAATTTAATTTTGTCAAGTTGAGGAATATTATATAGAAAATTCTTGAATTTTCCAACGATCAAGAAGAAAAATAATAATACCTTCGAGACAAAAATCTAGATTATTAATTTGAATAATATCTCGTGAGATTGAAGAACATTATATTATAGGAAATTGTATGGAATTGTGACGGTAACGACTAAAAAAAGAAAAGATAATATTTTCAAGAAAGAATCTAGGTTATTAATTTTAAATAACGTTTTATCAGGTTCAAGAATATTATATGAAAAATTATGGAATTTTCCAACAATGACGACTAAGAAGAGAAAAAATAATATTTTCAAGAAAGTTTAACAATTTTAAATAACTTAATCTTGTTGGAGAATATTACAGTTGTACAATAAAATATTCTAAATATTTAGAATTTATAGCGAATGAATGATTGTTGTACGGATCTCCGATTATATATATATATATATATGTATTATACTTGACCAAAATTCGGGCTTCCCGTTTGGAAAGAGTCGTTATACGATCTGCACGGTCATTGACCTTCTCTTTCGCCAATTCACTCTCCCTCTCGTTCATTTTCTGGCTTCGAAGGAACTTCGAGAGTAAGATCGTGGGCTAAACAACACTAGGATTTTCGCTAGAGGATGCTGATTTTGATCGATGATCAGGGATGAAAAAAGAAACGGTAACAATCGAGGCAATGTCGTGCAGTGGACGTTTTTCTTGAGATACACAGGCGAGACACTGTTTCTTGCTTTTATTTTCTACACTATTTTTATTATTAAATTTCTTCATTTCAAATGTTTTGAGGAGAAGAATCGTGACTGTCACAGATTAGAAATGGAACATTCCATACGAATAAGTTATCCCTCACAAACGTTTAACGCCGGAGCCCATCATGACGCAACTGTTCTGCCGAAGATTAATAACCGATCCTTTTTGTCATCCGAATAAATGGCTGTCTTCGAAATTGAGCCGTGAAAAGAATTGCTCGGACAAGTGATCGATGAATGCCATCCCAACTAATTGTTCCTTATATCATCACGCTTTATATCCTCTGTTTGGAAAGAATAAATCCAACGCGCGACAAGTTTCACACTCCATCCAATCTCCAACGGTTTTCTTCAAATTACAAACAAGTAAAAGATCGCTCTACAGATTCAAACAAAAGAAAAAAAAAAATTCCAGAATCCTTTCACGCTTGAGGAAAGAAAAAAGAAAAAAGAAACACCACTCGGATACAAGTGCCCGAGGAAAGCTTCTCAAAAATCGCGATTCACCAGCTCGAAAGGCAGCGAGGACAAAGCTGTTGAATCAAAGTCGATGGAGCAACATGCCAGTCCAGTTTCTCAATGGAAACTGCATCGATGACGGCCGAAAGTGACCGAGCTTCCAAGATTAATAACCTCTCCTTTCATCCTTCGGGATAGCCTTTTGTCTACGAATGCTGCCACCTATCTCCTGCATTCGATGAACGCGATTGATCGACGAGCCGACATCGACCGACTTCGTTCGTCGCTTCGATCGCGCAACGGTGAAAATTAATTAAACAGCCGGAGCGATGAACATTGCTAATCGCTAGACGTAATTAAAACAGTCTTAACCTCGATCGAGAGTCAACTGCTGTTTAGCAAATGCTGTAGCAACCGCTGTTTAATAGGTGGTCTTGAGAAGAACGATCGGCCGCGGTAAAAGAGAACGAGCGCAAAGCCAGAGAAGAACGATCGTTCGCGACTGTTTCGAAGGAAAGTGGCCGTCGTCTCGATAGCGCGTGATCGATTTATCATTCTCGATCTTTTAACGGTGAACGAGATTGAGCGAGAAGAAGGAGGAGAAGACTCGCAGTGGAAAGACGGTGACTAGCGCGAAACAGCGAATCGGGAATATATATATATATATATCGATCATGCCGTGATTTCGCTCTAATTGACAAGAACTCCGGGAACGCGAAGCGTTTATTATGATTGCGAGCCACGAAGGTGAAATATGGCCGGCCGGGATCGAACGTCGAGCGGTGAAACTTGAATCCGTAACCGCATAAATCGTAATGTCGAACGGCTGAAGCTCGAGAGAATTTCAATATCGGTCAACGAAGACGAGGCGCGCGAATCAAACTGCGTTCGATCGCGTGCAACTTAACTCGATTAACACGAGGTTGCCTTGTTAGCCTCTGAGTTTTGTGCGTGTGGAGAATCACTGTGATACGCGGTGCTAACGATAAAATCGATAGAATTAAGTAGCCAATCAAGTGTTAATTACACGAAGCACTCAATTTCGATTGAATCGAGTTTCCGCGAAGATTGAAAGATTTACTTTGGCGGCAGCTTTTCACCAAACATTCGATTAATATCTATTGACATCTCACTCGCTAACTCCTCTCATCAATCAGAGGGAGACAGTTCCTTCGGGAAAATCTGTCGATCAGTGTGGAAAAAGGAACGGAAATGAAAGGTGCCAAGCGTCATCCATCAACGAGCAATGATGAAAGTGAATCGTTTTATATACAGCGACGGAAAATTTGTATTTCAGTTCACACTGATCTTAGTTTTTTAGAGATTTTCTCAGTTTTCTTAGCTTCGAATTTTCGAAACACTTCATTGTCTGTCATAGATGAATTCTGCACCATCGGTTTGACCTTTGAACTTTAAGATCGAAATTTTTGTTTGCGTTGTATTCTATTCGTCACGAAAGTAAAACTTTTCCAAGCAACCATAGTTTCCGAAGAATAGCAAAAAAGTTTCTTAATCATTTAACACTGCGGACTAACAGCGACTTTATGCTTCTCGACACATGGATGTCCATTTTAAGTAATTTTCGTATTAGATTTCACTAACATTTGATCAGTGTAAGTCTGATATAAATAATCAAATAATAAAAAACTAACTATTAACATTAAATATAAATATTAGATAAAATAGACATCGCGTCCAGAGCCATAAAGTCGCTGTTAGCACGAAACTTTTTCATTTTCAGTCATTTTTCAAGACAATTATTTGCGACCTTGGAAAAGTTTTACCTTTGTGACGAGTAGAATACAATGAAAAAAATTGTTTTAATCTTGAAATTCAAGGTTCGTTTCTCCCCTTCACCCTGTACATGGCTATTTGATGAACTTGTACATACAGTGTTACGCGCAACAAATGCTAGTAGCGTGTTTTCATCGGGATGGGTACGAACCGCACAACTTTCAGCGATCAAAAGGCGATTAAGAAAGTTTCGTCTGTTATATAGGGTGGCTGGGAGCGATGTCGACGGGAGTGGCTCTGCTAGTTTCACCGGTAACAATAGCGTTTTGTCGGAGGAAAAGTACAAGACTCACCGCGGTTTTGGGTGGCCTGGTTACAGCGCTCGGTTGCCTTTTCACTTCCTTCGCCTCGCAGTTCCACCAGTTGTTCTTCAGTTACGGCACAGTTGTCGGTGAGTCACTGTGAAAAAATACAATGAAATTCTTTTATTCCCACTTCACCTTCGCTGCAGAAAAAAAGCGAAGCGTTACTCTGTAATGTATGGATCTTCTCTTAGTCATTTATCTTTCCTCCCGAGTAATTACCGCTTGATCGTTAACAAGTTTCGCCTACGTCACTTTCACTCCGGCTTGAATAATTCCTCGGATAAAACTTCACTTTCCGAAGAAAGCGTTAAGAGATTGGCAAGATAATGGCAAGTTGATGGACCGTGTTTAATTACTTCACGCAGGTATAGGGGTTGGCATGACGAGGGACTGTAGCACGCTAATGGTGGCGCAGTATTTCAAGAGGAGAAGAGAGCTGGTCGAGATTTTCATCGTGTCCGGAAGTGGCCTTGGCATCGCTGTCATGTCGGCTTTCATAAAAGGAATGATCAGGTAATGAGACAGAGGCATTCTCGTTACACGTTCGATTTCATAGATAATAGATTCATTGATCGTTGCACTTTAAGCAAAATCGGTTGGCGCTTGGGCCTTCAGGCAGTGACGGGCGTAGTTTTCCTGACGTTCATCTTGGGTACGTTTTATCGAAGCGCGTCCCTGTACCATCCGCAACGCCGAGCCATCCTGCACTTGAAGAATCAAAAACGCAAAATTAAAGACAAGAACAAGACGGACGACGGGCCACCATTCTTCGACTTCAGCACGCTGAAGAGCAAAACCGTGAGAATACTGTTGGTCTCCACCGGGATATCCGCCTTCGGCATCAACACCCCGATATTTTACTTGGTAAAGTGAAGAAACAGCTTCTTTTCGAACGCCAGGTTACGCGTTCTCAAGCGTTCTCTTTCGTTTGATTGCAGGCACACCAGGCTGAAGAAGAAGGTCTCGGTGACACGGTGATCCTGCTGCAAGCTTATCTCGGCTTGGCCTGGACCCTCGGCTGCGTTGCATTCGGCCTTTTGGTTGTGCATCGCAGCGTCGAGTGCAGGATAGCGCGTCAGTATCTTACGCAAGCGGCGATATTTGTATGCGGGTTGTGCATTCTGGCCCTGACCGCCGTTCAAGGAAATTATCACGGATACGTGTTGTTCGCCTGGATCTACGGTACAGTACCCTCCACGACAAACGTGCGTGAATATTTTTCAGAGAAATGCACATTACATTCCCTTTTAAAACTCGGACTACGACATTTCTCTCTCAATGTCCTTAGCTATCGTTCCTTAATTACGAATTCCACTTGATTCCGCAGGCATCTTCTGCGGTGGTTACCACTACAGCCTCAAAATGTACACCTACGAGAGAGTCAGAGCGAGAAACTTCGCAAGAACCTGGGGTTTCGTGCAATGCTCCCAGGCTATACCGATAGCGATCGGAGTTCCAATTTCAGGTGAACTTTCAGAATGAGAGATAAGCCTAAACTGTGCGACACTTGTTCGCCGAATGTCGTTGAAAGTGCGAGATTTTGCAGGATACATGAACGTCAACTACGGCGGCAAGGCGGGCTACTACTTCAGCTCGACCTGCGTTCTGGTAGGCAGTTTCACTCTGTTCTTCATAGACCTGCACAGAAGGAATTTATCGAGGCACAAGCACACACGGTCCAACGGGACAAAGCATCTCTGCGTTTCGGACAATTGTCCGCAACGACGGAAGTTGTCGTTCAGCCAGGAACCAGAGAACGATGGCCCGCACGTGGCTGCCGCGGGCGCTGCCGCGGCTGCTCTCGTGCTCGGTGCTGAGATCGCGCCAAACCCAGGTGAAGTTCAAAAAGAGTTATTTTTTTTGATCCAATACCATCCTATTTGGCAATACACTGTTGTTACTATCTATCTATATAATTATTGTTTCTTAAGAAACTCTAAAATTCCGTTAAACAAAATATTCTTTTAATGAACATGCCACATTTGACTCTTCGGTACGTAATATCGCTTTGTGCAAAAGATATATATTCGAGAAGTACGATTGAAAAAGTCCTCGGCCGCAAAGGGTTGATCTTTTCTCTCTCTCTCTCTAAATTTCCAAGGAAAGAAAAAAGATTTTCAATCGAAGGGTGAAAGACTGAAAGGAAATCTCGAAACATTTCGTTGCAGGCGAACTGATCGATGGCCTCGCTCCGGAGAAGCCCGAATTGACGTGCATCTCCGAGGAAGGAATCGCGGACATGGATCTTCCCGACAACATGCTGGAGGACCTCGATTACATCGGTGACTGCATCACCTCGTGCAACAAGGTCGAGAACTATCTGATGCTGTCGGAGTTCGAGAACAATCTGATAGCGGAAATGCCGATCATCACGGATCGCCGGGGTCGAAGGTGGTCCCTGGCGCGTTCCAAGGGCGGTCAATCGAATTCGGATCGACCATCGGGGCCTCAATCGAGTAACGAGGAGACCGATGCCAAGCCCAAATGGCATGTGACTAATGTGCCTCCTGCTAATAGGGTCATCACAGTGATTGACGAAGCAAGCACGTAACTCGATCGTCAAACTCCAGCAAACTGTCCACTCTCTCTCTCTCTCTCTCTCTCTCTCTCTCTCTCTCTGTTAAATGCTTCCGAATTCACGAACGAATAGTTGAATTACTTTCTTCGAGCAAGAAGCAGACATCTTGGCCCGTCGATCGTTCACTTTCAAAGATGAGTGTTTTATGAATTTTGTACTTAATTGAATTGAATTTCGCAATTAACGCATTATTGTTACGTAATTATCACGCAATGTGAACGGAGGCTCGAGAATCGAAAAGAAAGAACGAATCGAGTTCAAAAAAGTAGCAGGCTTATCTAATTGTAAGAGGCTGACGTTTCTCGTTATTGCGCCGCCTTCGATCGTCTGTCTCGTTTGTTCCTCTATGATTTAAGATACTGTTAGAGATCCTGTTAGCGATAGTTTAGCGAAGTCAACGGCAAGTCAACCTGGACAGCAATCTCGTTCTTGCGAGGATGTGAGAGACTGCGGAAACGGTCGTTTAATTCGCGGGTGCAACTAAGGACAATAACGTCGGCTTTCGACGAGAGGAACCACGGAAACGTTCCGTCCAACATGGAAATAGCCTCGACTCGCGTCGACGTCTTTGTTTAAGCTTCGTGCTAGTTCACTGCCACGCGTAGATGCATCGATCGGACGATCTTTCGTCTAACGAAAGAGAGAAAGAGAAAGAAAAATCGAAGCACGTTTCAGGCAAGAAGCTCCGACAGAAAATTGAAATCTCTTGGTAGACAAATTTTACGAAACAAAAGGAAAAAACAAACTCACTTCTGCCGATCATTCAGGAAAAGAAGGGAAGGGAAGATCGATCGATCGATCGACTTGTGTAAATGTAAAAGTCGTGATCCAGAGCCTTCTCCAGGAAGGAAACTGCTTCTTACACGTAGGCAATGCTAGCTAAAGATATTGAAACTAGTCCAAAAACGAAAATTCGTATGCAGCGATAAATGGTATAGTATAACGATACTACGGATAAACACGTAGCCATATGCGTAGAGTATATCGTTGTGTTATATCAGTCGAGACGTTTCAAGAGAATTTTCATGCGTGCAGCGTTTCTCTTTCTGTGACGTCGAGCGAACCGCGATCGACATAAACGCAAAGAGATAACGACGTTATTTATTTATCAAACTATTTATATTAGAATTATGCATACGCATGTCATGTACGTACACACAGACACACACACACATATACACACAAACGTTTATATACGTATTAATAAGCGTATAACATGCGTGCGGTATTATAATGCAAATTACGATTAAAATGTTTCGAGATAGTTGATTAAAAAAACAATTTCAAGCCAACCGGATGTCGAGGACTTGTACAGAGAAGCCAGACTGGTGTTACAATTACGTGTAACATTTTTCCGACCCGATTAAATGCACGATAATTTTGTTCAAGAAACGATGTTAACGCCAAGTTAACCTGTTAATGATCAACTTCTTTCCCGATTTAAGTTAATGTATTCTATTTTCAAACATTGCAGTTACGTTACAAATTTTGTCTGTAATCTACATAATTGGTTTATTTCCCTAAGCAAAGTATCTATTATTCTAATAATGCTGCAATTTTTACGTATCATTTTACTGTCTGATCCTTGACGGGTTATTGATAAATAAAAGAAAAAAAAATGATGAACATTTAATATTAATAATAAGAACCAGTCAGAGATTATTTTTAAGAGGAAGTTATTTTAACGATCCGGCGCGCTTGTCCGCGTCGCGTTAGCTACGTTTGTTGCATTACGATGTTATCACGATGATAACGGAAGGCTACTAGTCGAACGCGTCGTACGAACGGCGCAAAGAACAATAATTTACAAATTACTGTACTTTACCACACGCCACAGCAAAAAGAAGCAACACCGAACAAACTGCCTATAATATTGTAATATTGTAACGTTGTTAATACAGAAACGTGATTTTATCAAGTATCCCTCGCTTTCGTTTTCTTCTCCTTCTTTTTTTTTTTTTTTGTTTTACCTCTCTTCCAAAGGTCGAAAAGTGGGAATAAACGAAGGAAAAGATTTCACATTTCGTACAAGCAATTTAAATTCTCCACGGTGCTCACACAATCGTTCTGTCAATATTTTCCTCGTTAACCTACTTTCTGCAATTAACTTCTTCAAGTTGCAAGATGTACATCTGCATTCTCTCAACTTCACGATGCATCATTAAAAAATAATTCGCTCCAGTGAAACCGGTGCTTCAACGAACAAGAAGTTCCATCGAGGTGGAAGTGGGGGGGGAAAAAAATCACTCCTCCGTTCGACGAGGAATTCATTTGGATCAGCTAGAATTGCGAGAATTGCGCATTGTGGAGGGAGGAAATCAATTATGCAATTCGAACAGAACCATCGAATGTTCCATTACGACACACCGGTGTACGTAACGCCGATAATGCGACGTTAATTGCGAATTCTTGGTAGCCAACAGTCGAACGTTTGTTACGTGCATTGGCATGCGAGAGTTATCGGTTAACGCGGCTCGGTATGCTTTATCGATAAATTCTAATTCGATCAGCTCGCGCCGCTAACGAATCACATTCAAGCTCTGCTAATAATTATTTATTTCCACTCTTTGAGAAAGTTGAAAAAGAAAAGGAAAATTACGAAAGATGAAACGAAAATACGAGAATCACAACACACGGGCGGTATCGATGAATGCAAGCTATGCTATTCCTTATACATACAGGTCGAATCTAAATCTGAAATTTGGAGGGATTTGATTAATTTTCAAGAATCCAGGGTAAAGCGTACGTGTCGCGATCGAAGGAGAAAAGATTTCGAATGGTTTTGCTGTGGAGAGAGCGACATCGATCGATTTGTATGAAAAAATCAGAGAGACTTGATTGAGAATGGGACCAGACGGTGCGTTAATTGCCATGCACAATGTAATCGTGTGCGTTAATCGGTGTTCGTTAGGTTGCGTAGGACCAGAGGTATGTTAACAGCGCTGATGGACAGTCGCTCTAAGGCGCCCCATGTAGGTGTGCCCCCCTGGCGTAGCCCCAGTGCCACCTTCTCTGCCAAAAAAAAAATCATTTCAGGGACCCAGCTATATCGTCGAGGTAAGATGTCAAACTTTTTTCCCCTGTTTTCTTTTGAGAACACAAAGAGAAATAAATCGACTGTGACTCGACTGAATGTCCGATTCGAAAATGACGGCGTTCTAACTCTTGCTGTGATACTGAATTATTGTCTCAAGTTGCCTTTAAAATTACTCATCTTCAACTTGATATATCGATTTTGTTACATTAGTCAACCGAGAATCGAGAATGTTATTCGAAACACCTGAACTGCAACAGTATGTACTTGCTTTATAAAGGATACACGGTATTTTTCAGGATCTTGGAACGAACAAATACGAGAATGCCCTACGGGAAGTTGCACGTTCTCCCTTTGAGCCTTTTTATCCTGATCCCGGTGACGTTTCTAATTACGTAAGTCTGCCAAAGCAAAAAGCCCAGAGAAGAAACTGCATTCCGTGGTTAAATAATTTTCTCTTCGTCTCGAGTTGCGTTAAACGACCCGAGAATTTAATTAAAATTTACTAGCTATCCACGTGCATTGCTTTTATTTCGTTAAGTCGATCCACGATCGTTTTAAACTTTGTGAAAAAAAATTTTACAAAAATCCTTCAAGTTTCTTTAACCACCTTCGAAATCTTTTCTCCTTCAACGTTCTTTTAATTTCAATCGAGGAAAGCATTTTCGATGTTTCAAGAAAATCGTTGCCACGTAAAGGATTAATCAAAAGAAACGGAGGAACAAAATTTCAGGAAAACTCGTAGACAAGGTTCGTTGAAAATATGGTTGCCGAATATGGTTCATAGCGAAACTGAAACCATAGTCAAGACGAGGAGAATTAATGCTCACCGACTAGTTTTACGATTGATCAAGGCCACGGTATCAGAAACAGCCATGCATTCTGTTTCTGACAGCATGATGTAAATCGCGATTAGTTTGATTCATTATGCCTCGCTGTGTACTCTTCGCGTGGATCGTTGTTCTGTAAATATGGCTGCTTTCAATCGTGGATGAGCCATTGAATAATTCGCTACATCGAAACGCAATATGTACTTGCTCAAAGCGTTTCTTTTAGGTTAGCGAAAAATTCTGGCGAAATTTGTTTCTTAATCGGCTCTCGATTATCAGTTATCAGTTACATCTGTTTCGTAGTAAAATTTTAGCAGACCTCTAACTTAATAGCAAAATACTCTCTGCACAGACTGTACAAAGATTTTTACGAATCGCTGTACCACTTATAATTCTTTTTATTTTGCATTTCATTGTTTGCCACGATTCTAGAATCGTGACGTACGAGGTTCATTTGAATCGTTTACACAGTAAATAAACTGCGATTAAACTTCACGTAATGCTCTTCCTAAATCAGCGCTCTACATACAGGGTGGTACATTTAAATTATCTTTTCGAATTGTAATGATACAAACAATATTTTTTGTCTAACATGAAAGATATCCATAACTGGTAGGAATATTTTTTTTCAAGGACTTTTCAAAGTTATTAATTTTTTTTTCTTCATACAATACTTATAATTTATATATCTGAACGTATTTTTTTACGCGATACAATTAAAAAAAAAAAAAAATATATATATATATATATAGTTGTACCAAAAAAGAAAAAACATCAACAACCTTGAAAAGGACACTTTTAGAGGCACAAAAGGATACTTTTTGTATCCTCGCAATTCGAAAAGATATTTAGGTGGCGTCGCTTAAACGCTTAGACCACCCTGTATATGTACAATGTATAATACACGGATGTATCCGTTTTCAAATCAATTGGGTTTCAGGTACACGATATCGGTGCAGTGGGACCACGTGGTACCAGGATTCCCGTACATATCGGAAACAGGCACCTTGTCTCCGGAATCGTGTATATTTGCCCAATTCCTCAACATAGCCGCATTGCTCCGTAAATAATTCGACAAATTTTACGCCTAGTAGAACTAGTAGAACTCGTCTACCTCGAGAGGTGGCTAACGAGAACCGTGCGTGTATTTCAGTCGCCTGTTGCGTCTACATCAGACATCGGCAAGTCTGCCAATGGCAATTCGAAAGGGGCAACGATCTCGTTAGCAAGAGGATCGTTGTTTTGACGGCCTGGTGCGGCGTGCTGTCCTGCTTCGGACTCGACATTCTGGCGAACTTTCAAGAAGCTCGCGTCGTCGCGGCTCACATGATCGGGGCAATGACGTGTTTCACGGCTGGAACCATTTACTTTTGCCTTCAAGTACGGCCGATATCAAACGAAAGTCGATGATTGATTCTATCCACCATCGAAAAATCGTGTTACATATTTGCTCCTTGAATTTTCTCATAGGAGAAAAAAGATGTACATTTCTGTAATGCTTTTTCAGACGTACCTAAGTCGCAAAATGGTACCAGCAGTAAATGGCAGAATTGTCGTGTACATTCGCGCAGCGCTCTCAGTGCTGACGCTAATCTTAACAATTACCACGATCTTAGCTGGCTACATTTCAATGTTAGAATTCCAAGGTAACATTTCTCCGCTTAAACGATAACGCATAAACAGTGAACGACAATGAGTCAAATAACTCGCGGTTCTTGTGGTCACTCGCAGGCAACGATTACAAAAAATGGCTGCCAACGGACGGTGGCTGGGGCTGGCATGTCGCTAGCACCATTTCCGAGTGGCTTCTGGCGATCGTCTACTGCGTTTTCCTGTTAACGTTCGTGCCGGAATTTCGACTGATCAACTTCGAGGATCCTGTGGTCACGGTACTCTCTCTCTCTCTCTCTTTTCTTCTAACATTACGCTCGACGTATGTACAATCGGCTCGCAGAAGTATGTACTTCAGTCGCTAGACTTAACACCGTAATCACAGCCACGCGTTACAAACTTTTCAGTGATAAGTGCTCGAATGCTTTCACGAGTTGTCCTCACAGGAGATTCGAGGGATCAGTGCACGCGCACTGAGTCATAATTTACAATGCTTGTGCTTTCTCATTGTTTTCCAAAGCAATTATGCGATAATCGTGATTCGATGAATCTTATCTGCTGCGGAGTTTCAACACGTTGATCGCCGTGTCACCCACATGTAGGTGACGTATCTTATTTTTAATGAAATCTCAATGCAAGAACAAATGTGATAATATAATATCTAGTAAAGAAACGAGTTCTTAATAGTATATTTGTAAATCAAGCAAATTAGATTATCAAATAGCAATACAGCAAATTGTTAAATTATTTTGAGAAGTAATCACAACTACTTTATTTGCATAAAAATAGTTATTTGTGACATATTGGAGAACATTTTAAACAAAACCAACCGAGTAAAATTCGATGGGCTAACGTTTGATAAGCACGTGCGCGTCGTAAACGTAACAAGAAGAATAAAAAACAAAAACTTGGAGAAAAGAGCTCGAGATTGCAGTGAGCCTACACAATTTGCACTCGGCGATCAACGTGTTAATCAACGTTGAAATTAAAATGACTCTTGGATCTTCTTGTTTTCAGTTGATCTATCTCGACAAGGATCAGGACACGAAACTGTCGCGCAAGCTAAGCCCGCAAGTTCAAGAATGTTAAAATCTCTCGGGCGCCAGTTAATTATTAAATTATTAAATTCCTTCTCTAGCGTATGCATTTAAAACTATAATTTCTAGTAATGTTATTCTCTAATCTCTCAACACCACACTCAGCGTTTTCAAATTCCTTCGAAATTGCTCGCACGCGCCAACTTAATTTCGCTGTTGCCC